CACTAGTGAAACTCTATGGGCCTGGTATTTTCTTTTTGATATGAATTTTCATTTCAAATTAAATTTCTTTAATAGTTATAGGGCTAATAAAATTTTCTATTTTATCTTTGTCAGTCTTGGTAACTTGTGCTTTTCTACAAATTTGTCCTTTTCAACTAAGTTGTTGAAATTGTTGGCATAAAATTGTTTATAATATTACCTTATTATTTATTTGATGATTGTAGGATCAGTAATAGTTACCCCCTCTTTCATTCCTAACAGATAATTGTGTTTTCTCTCTTTTTTCCTTGATCCCTGTTGCCAAGGGTTTTATTAATCCATGAATTTAATTAGTCCATTCAATGAACCAACTTGTGGCTTTGTTGAATATCTCTGCTATTTATCTGCTGTCTATTTCATTGTTTACTGCTCTTATCTTTAGTTTTCCTTCCTTCTATTGCTTTGGAGCCCTGATGGCGTAGTGGTTAAGAGCTCGGCTGCTAACCAAAAGGTCGGCAGCTGGAATCCTTGGAAACTCTATGTGGTAGTTCTACTCTATCCTATAGGGTCACTAGGAGTCAGAATCAACTTGACGGCAACAGGTTTGGATTTGGAAGGAGACTCAACGGCAATGTTTTTTTCTTTCTTTTTTTAAGGTATAAACCTAAGGAGCCCTGGTGGTACAACTGTTAAGTGCTTGGCTGCTAACTGAAAGGTTGGTGGTTTGAACTCACCCAGTGGCTCCATGGGAAAAAGACCTGGTGATCCATTCCTATAAACGTTACAGCCTGGAAAACCTATGGGGCCGTTCTACTCTGTCACATGGGGTCGCTCTGGGTCTAATTTGACTCCACCGTACCTAACAACAACAGCAAGGTGCAAACTTAGATCACTCTTTTAGATTGTTAACTTTTCTTCTTTTGTAAGCATTTAAATCTATAAATATCCCTGTAAGCAGTGCTTCAGCTGCATCCCACAAGCTGTGTGATATACTGTGCTTTCTTTTTCACCCAGTTCAATTTGTTTTCTAGTATCCCTCGTGATTCCTTCTTTAACTCATGGACTATACTATTTAGAGTATGTTGTTTACTTTCCAAATATTTGGGGCTCTTCTAAATATCTGATCTTTTTATTAATTGTATTATCACTTACTAAAAAGAGGGTATACAAATCTCCAACGATGATCATGGATTGGTCTTTTTCTTCTTAATCCTGTCTGTCTTCATTTAGTTTGAAGCTCTGGTATTAGGTACATACACGTTTTGCTGTTATGTCTTCCTGACGATTTATTCTTTTATCATGAAGAAATGTTCCTCTTTGTCTCTGGTCGTGTTTGTTGACTTGAAGTTTACTTTGCCTGATACTAGTATAGTCCTGCCAGCTTTCTTATACTGAGCATTTGCATGGTATATCTTTTTCCATTGTCTTACATTTAACTTATTTGTGTCTTTATACTTAAATTGCGCCTCTTGTAGGCAGCATATAATTGGTTTTTAGTTTATTTTATTTTGTTTTTATTCAGCCTGACACTCTCGGCCTTTTATTCGTAGTCCCTTTGTATTTAGTCTAATTATGGGTGTGATTAGAGTTAGGTCTACTACTTAGCTATTTGCTTTCTAGTTGTCCTATCTGCTTTTGATTCTTTCTTACTCCTTTACTGCCTTCTCTGAAGACTAATGGAATAATTGCAAATATTCTTTTCATCTCAACCATTTTTAGGGTTTAATTTCAATATTTTTTGTGCACCTGTGCACTTGAGACACCATGTAAATTAAAAGGATGTTAATCACATATAGATAACATCAATGTCAATATTAAAGGGGCAGAAACAGTAATAAACTAGCTGCCGTCAAGTTGAGTCTAGCCAGGTTCAAATTATCGAGATTCCAATAAGATGTGATTTTTCTCTCTTGAGTATCTGATCTAAAAGGTTGGTTGGTGGGAAACTTTTCCAGTCTCCTTGATCCGGGCATCACATGCTTTGATGTGATGCTTTTTTCCTTGTAAAAACAAAAGGCTAGCTTTTTTTTTGTTTTCATTGCCTAAACAATCTCAGAGAACAGAGGATTTTTTTTTTTTAATTGTACTTTAGATGAAGGTTTACAGAGCAAACTAGTTTCTCGTGGAACAATTAATACACGTATTGTTTTGTGACATGGTTGCCAATCCCACAACATGTCCATACTCTCCCCTTCTCGACCTTGGGTTCCCCGTTACCAGCTTTCCTCTCCCCTCCTGACTAAAGGCCGGCTTTTGAGATTAGATTTCAATTTTTATTCTTATAAACCTACCCACTCCAAAAAAACCCACTGCCATCGAGTTGGTTCCAACTCATAGTGACCCTATAGGACAGAGTGGAACTGCCCCATAGGGTTTCCAAGGCTGTAATCTTTACAGAAGCAGACTGCCACATCTTTCTCCTGTGGAGCGGCTGGCGTGCTCGGCTAACCACTGTGCTAACAGGGCCCCTATAAACCTACATATTATTATATTCTTCCTGCCATATTTTCACGGAGCATATAATTTAAATATTCAAAAATTAGGTGTCAATATTTGTATTCAAATCTACCCTACACTCTACCTTCATAACAAATATACGCTCGGCTACTTGGTTTACACTTTGTGAAATGTAAAATATAAGAATCCTCTTTCAATCTTTGGGAAACGTTTAGAGTCTCTAAAGTGCCATTGCTGGAAATAAAAAAAATCCTACCGTAAAAACTATTTTGATTATTTGTAAGAGTTAATGTCCAAGTTCTCAAAATTTGGAGATAATTGTGTTTCAAAATTAAGAGCTTGAAATGAACACTTGAGTGACTTAGAAAATAGTCCATTATTTTATTTAATAATCACAGATACCTTTTTTGAAAGCTAAGTTGGGATAGCATCCGGATAAGACTTCATTATTATAGCTCCATTTACAAAATTTTAAAGCTAAAAACTTAATTTTTAAGTGAAAATTCTTTTTCTTTCCTTTTCAGGATTTAGAATGGCGTATATTTGAATAGACACAATGATTGCTTTACTTTTTTTTCCCCCCTTTATATTCAAGACTTGAGGAAGGATTAGCATTCAGTAGCTATGGTTTAAGAATGCACAGTTGATGGCCCCGGGCAGCCGTGATTTGGGAATTTAATTTGGTCAGCCTAGGGTTTCACAGGACAAAGAGGGAGGAAGGTGATAGCATGCCTAGCGTTCGTCGCTGTTGGAAACATGACCCTCCGCTTTTTGAATGGTCCCCAGTTCGTCTGAAGGAGCAAGCCCCCATGACACAGGAGAGCCATCAGGGAGGGGACCGTGAGCGAACATGGATGACAGAAGTGTCTGTGCCACCCATTCATTAGGGACTCACAAAGGGGGCATAGAAATCCTGGGCTTTTGTGGGACTTGAGAGCTTCATATCAAATGTCTGTCGGGTAATTTAATTACGTGGGCATGGTAGGAATGACACAGTGGTTACATTAATAAACTGAAGCATTAAGGAATAATAGGCCAGTTATTGCTGAATTTTGGGAAACACGGTGCCTAGTCATTCCTCATGATATTAGAAGGGAGAAGGAAGGGCTTCCCATTTTGCACTGGCAATGCATAAAGAAGCAGTTTCTGGCCTCTCCAGACTTGTGGAAAACCTGGTACCAGAGAAGGCCCAAAGTCCGTGCCCACTAGCATAAATCTCGCTTTGTTTAAGATGCTTCAAATATCACAAGCTAAATCTGTTGTGATGGCGCTAAATAAAATTGACTTGAGCCAGCCATAGTAATAAGCATAGGCCTCCGAATAGCCTTCCCAACAGATCTCAGTCCTGATCCTTGCCATTCTTTGTCCAGTGCTCTCCTGTTAGTAGAATCCATTTTGTGCCATCATTGGCTACCAGGCTGGTAGCGTGGAAGAAGTAGCTTATTATTTAATAGAGGCTAAATGAATTTTTCCTCTCCACTCCATCCCTTCTGGCCAAGTGGAAGAAAATGACTTTTTGCCTTCCCGCAGGGGCAGGGGAAATAGGAACACCCATTTTATTTTGTATCATTTTTCACAAAGCGTTTATTTAACTGTGCCAATGCTGCTCCAAGAACTGTAATGTGGGAGGGTGAGAAGGAGAGGAATAAGATACGGTTCTTGCTTTCAGATTCCAGTAGAGGAATTCATAGCTTACTTAGCAGCCAGCCAGCTTCTTCCAGTAAACTCATGAAAAGTTTTCTGCATCAACTCTCATAATCATTGTCTTGGGGCCTGCATGTCTTCTTGGATTTAAAAAAAAAAACAGTTAATGATTTTCAAAGATCCATTCCAACTCTAAAATTCTTTGAGCCCCAGAATTCTGAAAAAAAAAATCATTTCTAGGAGAAACTAAACATTTCATGTGCACATAACCCAATTGCAGTGTACAGAGAATGATCCGAAGTATCACTCTTCAATAATACAAATGGTGTTTTGTGCTCTGAGGTTTTAGGAAACTCTTTTGGAATTCAAGTTTGAACAAGTCAAATAATAGAATTTGAGGGAGCAGACAGCTTATATTCTTCAACTGAACTAGAGTCGTATGGTTTCATGGAAAAAATAAAAAATTGAAGTTTACCTGGTAACGTATTAGCAAGCCCCACGTTTCCCAGGGGAGGCAAACACTGTTTCCTTTCCTAAAAGTCACATGGCAATGACTCTTTAGGCCAGTGGTTCTCAAACTTGAGTGTGCATCAGAATCACCTAGAAGGCTTGTTAAAATACAGACTGCTGGTACCCAGCCTCAGAGTTCTGATTCAGTAGGACTGGGATGGAGCCTGAGAATTTGCATTCCTAACCAGTTCCCAGGTTATGCTGATGGCTACTGGGACTGGGGCTACACTTTGAAAAACGCTGCTTTAGACATTAGAATGACGATTCTCTCCGATCTTGAAGGACATATTGCAGAGTTCCTTTGATTTAGCAGAATTAAGATGGATTCTCATTTGATTTGACCTATACATGCCTCTGATGAACTAATTCTTTATAATTCAAAGAGCAATGTTTAAGAATAATAACAATGAGTGCTCACTTCGGCCGCACACATACTACAATTGGAGCTGTACAGAGGATTAGCATGGCCCTGCACAAGAATGACGCACAAGTTCATGAACTGCTCCATGTTTCACCCGGTTCTTGAAGGCACCACCCATTGTTGGATTATACCAGGCAAACAATATGAGTCAAGGCAACATGTCACATCTAATATTGAAATTTTGATTTTTCTCTACTACTTCTACTAAGGTAGAATTCTTGCCTTTCGTGCAGGAGGCCCACGTTCGATTCCCAGCCAATGCACCTCAAGTGCACCCACCACCTGTGTGTCAGTGGAGGCTTGCGTGTTGCTGGGATGCTGAACAGGTTTCAGTGGAGCTTCCAGACTAAGACAGACAAGGAATAAAGGTCTGGCAATCTACTTTAGAAAATCAGCCAATGGAAACCCTATGAATCACAACGTTCAGTCTGAAAGAGATTGTGGTGGCAGTGCAGGACCGGGCAGAGTTTTGATCCATTGTGCATGGGGTCGCCGTGAGTCGGGGGCCAACTTGACAGAAGCTGACAACAACTAATAATAATACTGACGATGAAATATGCACTTCATACTGCCACATAACATAGATGTTACATAAATGGAGATTTGATTGCAGACTTAGTTCTTTGCTTCAGCTCTTTGGAGCATTCCATTGGGATCAAAAATGTAGACTTGTAACATTGCTAATTGTATCCTACCCAGTCCCACTTTGGGATGTGCTTCAGGCAAAGGAGTGGAATCCAACCTTTGCCCACGGGTTCCCGTGTAGCCACAAGCTTCAGAAAGAGTTTTGTCAGCAGTTCATGGCTCCCTGGCCCACTCCAACCACAGGTTGGCCACCAAAAATGTGGGTCAGTGAGTTGCCAGCATGCCCAAGTTCAGTGGTTATAGGGACCAGAACACTCAAGTTCTACACATGTGATGCCACCACAGTCTTAAGATGGGAAACGAGGGCAAAGGCAAGCCTTGCTGTTCTTGGACTTGGTTCTGTTATGCCTTCCATTTCTAAAGCCAAATACCTCTTACGCAATTTTGTTTTTCTCTCATAAATTCTGCCAGAGGGTGGTTTCATTCAGCCAGGCTTGGCTATAATTTTGAGTCAGATGGATCTTCATTTTTCTGTTCTTTTCACAGAAAAAGAAGCACACAACTAAATTTTATGTTACAGGCTAAACACCTAAAACCCCCAACCTTCAATCTTAACCTGACTTGTAAAACCTATAGTGCTAGAAATGCCTTCGTTTCTGTTTTTATTTTGTCACAAGAAATAAAAGTAAATGATTTGGTTAAAAGTTTACAGTTTTTTCTTCCTGGGGAATTAGATATTAGCTTCTGAAAATAATAAAAGCAATTTCTATTAATTGCATTAGATGGGGCATGCCAAAAGTATCAATTTGTAAACAGCAACAAATGCTGCTCAGTTGAGATCCAGATAGTATCTACTTGCTGTTTCTGGTCTAAATATCTAGTGAGAAGACAGGCTTAGATAAGATAAGGTTAAAGGAAAAATCTTAGAACATACAATTTATCATACGCCTTGCTTACATAGCTTTATCCAGAGGCTTAAAATCACATAGTGGATTTTTTTCTAACTTCTATCTTGCTCCATTAAGAATTCAAGAGGCTAAGTTCTGGAAATATGATAGAGCATATTAAGAGGACTTGTGAGACAGTGCAGGAAAGAAAAAAATAGTTGGGTACTCTCCAGAGTTTATTGGCTTTATTATTTCTTTTGTGCAATGTGCTCTTATTTTTTGAAGAACATTGGCCCATAGCATGACATGTGGTTATGTTCGTTAATGTACAAAGATCAAAAAATTTCACTGTTATTTTACTGTGGAATATTTACCATGACCAGTAGATCTTGCAGTCAATTTTAAGAAATGATTTTATACAGCTTCTTCCATGTTGAGTAAAATATATTTATGATTTTTGCCTCAGATCTTAGAGAACACTATTGTGTTCTCTTTGCTTTCCTCAAAACCACATCTCTTTTAAGCGGAGTGTTTTCTGGGAAAGCCGTTGTGGAAAGTGAGAGAGATGCAATCTGGGCCTCTGGGTACAAATCATTCTAGCTTTTGACTGGGGCTTGATTGCATTCATTGCGCTTCGTTGGTGCCCTGAGTGGACACAGTTGGATTTCTATACAGGGGTTTGCTGCCACCATCAGTGTCCCAGTGATGTCATCTCTAGGAAGAAAAAGAGGGCTGTGTTTTCTGTATTAAGAACATGTTAAGGAAATAAAAGGCATACAGACTGGAAGGAAGAAATAACACTGTCTTGGTTTGCAGATGATATGATCGTCTATGTAGAAAAATCCCCAAAAGTCAACAACAACGAAAAACCTCCCGAAACTAATAAACAGTTATAACAAGGTAGCAGGATACACAGTTAATACACCAAAGTCAATTGTTTTCCTAGATACCAGCAATGAACAACTGAAATTTAAAGCACAGTACCATTTACATTAGCACACAGACACCCACAAAGAAGAAGGAATATTTAGGTATAAATCTAACAAAATATATATAAGATCTTTATGAAGAAAACTACAAACCTCCGATGAAAGAAATCAAAGAAGATCTAAATAAATGGGGACATATTTCATGTTCATGGATAGGAACAACTAATATTATTAAGATGTCAATTCTTCCCAAGTTGACCTATAGATTCAATGCAATCCCAATAAAAATCTCAGCAAGTTATTTTATGGATATTAACAAGCTGATTCTAAAGTTTATATGGAAAGGCAAAAGACCCAGAATAGCAGAGTTGGAGGACTAACACAACCTGACTTCAAGACTTTCTATAAAACTATCGTGATCAAGACAGTGTGATATTGGTGAAGGAACAAACAAATAGATCAGTGGAACAGAATAGAGAGCCCATAAAGAGGTTGTTACTAACCCAATTGCTTCTGCACTGCTACAGGTTTTGAGCTCATGGCCATGGGCTGATAACTGGGATGCTGTAACATAATGGAACAACTCCCTTTGAAAATTAATCCCTCACTGGTTTCATCTGACATTTGGATGAAAGCTTGCAGAAAGGCATGCAAATTGAACCTGCACCCCCATTTTTTTTAAATTAGCCCTCTTAGTTTAGGATCTAAAACACTGCAGGAATATAGTTCGGAAATCAATCCCCAAACAATTAAACCCTTTTCTCTACAGATGACCACATTTTGTGAGTAAAAGAACATTAGAATCCTATGATTAAACCCCAAAGTCAACCAAGGTGACAAAGAAAAACAGTAAAAGCACAAAGTGGACCAGATGGCAAAAAGGAAAAGCTCATCCATTTATTTGATTTGTTTTTCTATTTTCCTGCAGAGAAATAAGCACTAAAGAATCTATTTGAAAGTCCCAGCTCAAATGACATCCCATTCATGAAGCCTTTCAGGTTTTTCCCAGCTGGAAATGATCTTGCCCTTGTCTTCTGAACTACATAGCATCCAGGCCTCTTTTATTGAATTATTAATTTCGGCTACATATTCTCATCATTCCTATACATGTCTTATCTCTTTTCTTAGACTCCTTCAACATGAGAATCATACTTTAGACATCACTGTATTCTCTAAAAAGCCCAGCATCTTACTCTGACAGTGGTCAAAAAATGCATGCTGAATAACCATAGGTTCAGGGGCCATATAATTTATAGAGCCCAGTGCTACATGAAAATGTGGGGCCCCTCGTTTAAAAATTAAGAATTTCAAGATGATGACTAACCAACCAATCAGTTGCCACAGAGTTAATTCCAATTCATGGCGACCTCATGAACTGTGTTCCACAGGATTTTTAACAACTAATTTTTTGGGAGTAGTTTGCCAAGACTTTCTCCAGAGGCACCTCTAGGTGGACTCAAACCTCCAACCTTTCAGTTAGTAACCAAGCACGTTAACCATTTCATCATCCAGGGACCCCAAGATGGTGTCAGCAGAGCATTAAAGCAAGCTCAGGGACTTTCTAAGTGCAAGGCCCTATGCAAGTACACAGGTTGCACACTCATGAAGCCAGTGCTGCATATGTATAAATGAATGAATGAATCCATCAGTCCTATTCACATAACCAGCCAAAGCCATGGTTTTTGTTTGTCTAATCACAGTTTAATATCAGGGAGCCCTGGTGGTGCAATGGGTAAAGCACTTGGCTGCTACCCAAAAGGTCGGCGGTTCAAACCCACCAGCGGTTCTAGAGGAGAAAAGACCTGGCCATCTGCTCCTGTAAAGATTACAGCCTAAGAAACCCTATGGGGCTGTTCTACTCTGTCCTACAGGGTCACTATGAGTCAGAATCAACTCGACGGTCCACAACAACAAACAACAATCATGGCTTGGGTTTAAAAACAAATAATAACAAAAAGAAAAGAAGACACACACACACACTATCCAGGAGCCAACTTTTTTGCTTCCTTGAGGCAATTACATTTTGTCCTCCTTTACTCATTGCTTGTATTAAAACAGATGTTTCTTCTATATCTCAGGGGTTAACAGACGCCATTGAGATGGTCACCAGAATTTGCTGACACTATGCTGATTACCAAAAGCTTCATCAGTCTGCAATGCATAGTGACAGTCTCCTTTCACTACCCCTTAGTTAGTTTTAGCTGTTTGAAGTTACAGGTCATTTAAATAGTTCAAGAACTGATAAATGAGGTAAAGCAACTATACCTTTAATGAAACGCCACTGCTTTCCTGAACTTTCTCAAATGGCTGTTGGTGTTTGATTATCAATTTTTTGGCTTCATCGTGTATTTCTCAGAAGCCTGGGAAGCCAGTGTGATGTGTGCTTGTTATGGTTTCTAATAGTGGAAGTACGGAGGGCACGCGGGGCTCTGCCTCAGAGCACCCTTAGTTCGTACGTAGGTGCTGTTTGCCTTTGCAGAGCTGAGAGAGGGGCGCGCTACGAAAGGAAAATTGGAGAGCAAAGTCAGCACTGGAAAAATTCATGAAATGTGGTCTTGTCCAGTTAGTGAGAAAATAATTGTCTCCAGGTTTGATGAAGGGTTTCTAGTGCTAGCATTTTCGGATGAAATACAGCTGGTTTCAAATTCCACCGTCAAACTCAGAATCGAGCTAATTTCATGTGGTTTGGGGT